AAAAGAGTCACATGTTTCTGCAATGGTGATCATGTTGCAGAGATGTCCTAAAACTCCAGACTCAATCCTGGGGGCAGTGGATGGCACGTGTAACATGCAGGGTGGGTTACATACTGGGAGGCCTGCATTTCCCATTGCTGGGGTAGACGAGAGCTTGGCGTCATTGGACATAGATCCTTGGAATAAATCTGGAGTTGATTGGTCTAGGGACACAAAGGATGTTGCCCTATTTTTCTTCCTGGGCAAGGACAGTGGCCTTGGTACCAGCTACCAGTTTGTGAGAACAACAGGTGAAATCAGAAGCACAACGTCTTGGCTGAGACCGAGACCAAACTGAGAAAGGTGAAAGATTTTAATTCTGTAGATGCTGGGTAGCAAAAAAAGTCTGCACTTGAGAAAGCTAGAGAAAGGGAAGTTCAATATTTCTGAGAGGCCAAGTTGAGAGTCCAAAATTAGACAAAGAGACAAAGGGAAGTTCAGAAATGTGATGGAGAGACGAGAGCCTGGCCAAGATTAGGTAGTGTGAGGACGGGGCTGGCGTCCATTCCCTGGCCTCCTTGACCTTATTGAAAAGGAATTCTGGGCATAAAGCAGCATCCTGGGAGAAATCACAGTCTGTGGAGAGGTGTGCCCACACACCCCTAATCCTGAGAGGTGAAGATGGTCTTTAAGAAGATGCAGGAGTAGCTGGAGAGAGTCCTGCTTGTCGTATAGAGAGGGCCCGCTAGCTGGGGACCAGGTGCTGAGAAAGGGGTTTCTGGACTGTGCAAAATCGTCTTCACTCTAGGCTTCAGCATACCCATGTGCAGCCATCTGTAGTAAAATCCAAAGTTGTTGCTGTCTGGCTCTGGTTTTCTACAAGGATCTAAGGAAAGAGGTTAAGGGAAGGAAAGGACAGAACCTATTCCTGCAAGAGCTCTACCTAGGGGCCATCCAGAAGTCATGCTCCTTTGACCAGACTGAGCTTTTTCCATTCCAGATGTGGAAATCATGAGTCAGGGTCCGCTGATCACCTAGCCGGAACTCCTGGTCACAAGACAGTGCTTAAGGAGAGACCGGCGATCTTTCTGGAAAGTCCTGGTATAAATGAGTTACTTTTTCCGTTCAGAGACTAGATGTTTGAATGTTTAAAAGTCTTGAGTTCCGACACAGATGTTTAAAAGTCTGTCCCGACACAGATAACTGGGACTTGTTTCCCATGTTCTGAAACACAGAAGCTACACCTGCCCGTGATATTCATGGTTTGACTGAGAAACTCAGGAATTGGTGTGAGGCATCCAGGGCCTCCCGCAGCAGAAGTTGGGGTTAGGGCTTCCATCACGTCTGTCAAACCCAGGCCCCGCTGGCCTCCTGCTCACCAGGGAGTGCTCAGGCATGAAGGAAAATGGACAGGCTGACATTTCAGCCTTTCTTGGGTCTCCCGCAGAGGAAAAGATAGAGATATAAAAATGATATGGTTAGCAGCGGAATATTTCCTGCTCTGCTGGATTCAACTCTATTTGGTTGATCTTTTCTTCAACCAGGGAGCTTGACTTTTAGAAACCAAGGCATTTTTCACCAGAAAATGGACTGTGGTCTCCCAGAGGCAGAGCGGTTCCCCTGCAGGGCGTAGGGAGGTAGCTGGATTTGTAGCTGCTTTAGCTCCAGAGGGGAAAGAGACCTTTCACGCCCTTAAGAGCTTCAAAGCCAGCTTGGATTGCACAGGGAAAAGAGCACAGGCCCACGCCCGTTCATCCCAGGTGTGCTGACCTTTCCAGGCTCTACCAGCAAATGAAGGAGGCCTGATTGCTTGAATCACATCAAGCAATGCTATGCAATCAGTACCATGCCAGGACTGCAGACTTCTTTTGGGCAATTTGTGTTTGGCCCTATTAATCAGAAGTGGCCAGAACTCCTTCACACCCAGCAGGGCTTGTTTCAGGGGTGTGTACAGAGGCCCACGCTCACAAGGGCCCTGTGTTTGGTTTGGTGCTCTGCTATTACTCTCTTGAAGGTCTGAATACTTTTTTGAACAAGGAGCCCATGTTTTCATTTTGCACCGGGCCCTGCAAATTAAGTCACCAGTCTTGGATCCAAAGCACATCTCCTGCCAATCTCCTTTATCTGGCAGTGATCATTTTTTTTTGAGTTGGAGTCTCATTCCATCGCCCAGGCTGAAGTGCAGTGGCATGCTCACGGCCACCACAGCCTCGACCTGCTGGGCTCCAGCGATCCTTCTGCCTCAGCCTTCCAAGTAGCTGGAGCTGCAGACGCACGCCACCACAACCAGGCTGGTTTTGGTGATTTATTGTAGAGATGAGGTCTCACCAAGTTGCCCAGGTTCAGGCAATCCTCTTGCCTCGGCCTCCCAAAGTGCTGGGCTTACATGCTGAGCCCCTGCGCTTAGCCATGAGCTAGGTATTTTATATAGATTGTAATTCTCAACAACCCTATGGGTAGATATTGTCATTATTTGGAGACGAGAAAACTGACGGAAGCTTAAAGAGCCCACTAATTACGGTCCAGGCTTACCAGCGATCCTTCCGCCTCAGCCTTCCGAGTAGCTGGAACTACAGATGCGTGCTACCATGCCCGGCTATTTTTATTTTATTGTAGAGATGAGGTCTCGCCAAGTTGCCCAGGCTAGTTTTGAATCCGCGGGCTCAGGGAATCCACTCGCCTCGGCCTCCCAAAGTGCTGGGATTTCAGGCTGAGCCACCGAGCCCGGTCCATTGTTTGTTTTTATCACACTTCATTGCAATAATTTGGTAAGTGTCTCCTTCACTGACTGACAAGCACTGTGAGTCAATGTCTTCCTTGTTCTCTACGGTCTCTGTCGTACTTGGCTAGGTATTCTGTAGATGGCGGGGGGGGGGCAGGAAATTTACTGTCCCTTCCTCCCATGAGACTGTATTTCACAGGACACAGTACTAACGCAGATCAACACAAGAATAGCAGATGGAAAAAAAACAAAACAGTGAACGACCACAAAAATAAAAGCATTCCAATCTTTTCTTCAATCATTCTCTATTTGTTGAGTTTTTCCCGTTTACTCAATGCTGGATTGGGTGTTGAGGGAATACTGGCGAGCAGAGAGTGTTTGGCCTCTACCCTCGTGGAGTATGCAGTGTGTGGAGAGATAGACATTAGCCATCTCGTCCACTCACAGATGTCAGACTGTGTGTGGCCATGCCACGCATGAGAGGTGCACAGTCCAGGAGCGTCCGTGATGGGAGGCATGCCTTAGTCCGGCAGGTCGGGAAAGGATTCTTGGAGGAAGTCAACTGAGCTGAGAACTGAAGGTGAGTTCAGTTCTGACTAGAACAGGGAGGAAGGAGCCTTCCATACAGAGGGAGTCACGTGGGCACAGACTCTTGGAGGAAGGGAGCTCGGATACTCTAATGACTGTAGGGAGTTCAGCAGGTGGGAGACAGCACGGGACTGCAGGCAGTTTAGGGAATTCTGTTGTTCTCTTTTTTTTTGTGGATTTTTTTTGAGTTGGAGTCTTACTCTGTCGCCCAGACTGGAGTGCAGTGGCCGCTCCCGGCCACCGCAGCCTCGACCTGCTGGGCTCTGGCGATCCTTCCGCCTCAGCCTTCCAAGTAGCTGGAATTACAGGCAGGCGCTACCATGCCCGGCTTATTTTTTGATTTATTGTAGAGATGAGGTCTCGCTGCCCGGGCGGGTCCCGAACCCACGGGCTCAGGCAATCCACTCACCTCAGCCTCCCAAAGGCGCGGGATGACAGGCTGAGCCACCGAGCCTGGCTCTGTTGTTCTCTTCACAGCGATGGGATTTTAAGCAGGCAGGGACATGAGCCATGTTTTGTAGCCATCGCTCTGGGGTGAGGCGGAGATGGCACTGAGTGGAGCAGAGTGGACTGCCCAGGTTTGTGTATGTATTGCTTCCAGGTGGTTATTCCCATGGGAGAGCTCACCTGTGGTGAGAAGGCAGGCCACTGGGACATCTCAAGAAGATACCACTCATAGGAGAGTATGTGGCTGGCACTATGTTTACCAGACTCTGCCTGGTGCTGTGTTCACCCGGGCTCTACCATGCTCTGGGAGGAGCTGTGACTGGACTCAGTGTGTGCTCAGAGAACTTGGGGACTTGCTGGTGTGTGGCAGGAAGACTTGCAGGGTCACTTTTCCAGTTACAAAACAAACCACCAGAGCCTACTTTTAGAAATCCTGCCCAGAGCCCAGGAGGCCTGAGCTTTTAGCCGGCTTTTTGATAAATCTGCAGGTGACTGGAGAGACTTGGCGGTCTGAATTCTTGTTCATTCAGGGAGGACCCTCACCTGCCGTGATCAGGATGGGAAAACATGATCACTTACAGTCTGAGTATTAAATGTCCCAACCAAAAGGGATAGCCCCTGCGACTACTCCTGGCCAGGGGTCACCCTCCCTCCATCCCTGCTGGAGACACAGGCTCGGCCAGAGACAAAGATTGTTTCCCCTCCCAGGACAAGCTGGGATGTCATAGAGAGCTCTGCCATAGCAGAAAGACTCTTATCTCTCACACCAGCTTGTTTTGTGTTCTTGGGCTAGTTCGACAACAACTTCTCAGGTAAATTCCTTCAGCTGTAAAATTGAAGGGTCTAAATTCAGTCATTTCTTTCAGTTCCAAAGTTCTAAAAGTTCTTTATTCAGAGCCTCTGGGTGGGATGGGGTGGTTTTCAGATCCCGAAGAGATCTCAGTTTTATCAGAATGACCCAGCACTATTGTTAAGGCCAGGAGGAAAAGGTCAGTCATATGCTTGTGCGTTGCAACTGGGGACACCTGGGACTTGTATCCTCACAGAGTTTGATCTTGTATGTCAACAGGGCTTTGCCTTGACTGAATTCCATAGTCTTTGTTCTTTTCTTTACTGACAGTTGCATCAACCATGTGGCCATCTAGCCTAAAATAGGAATATATGTATTTTCCACGCACCATTAGTTTCCTCTTTCAATTTTTCCTTTTTAAACTGGTGAAGTGCCCTGTTTTGACAAGTTGTTTCCTTCTGCCCAAACTCACAGGTACAAAGGATTTCAAGGCAACTGTTCCATGACCTTCATCGATCAGTTTAAAGCACTGCACCAGTGTAACAAGTATTGTAAAATGCTGGGGCTGAAATCCCTTCAAAACAACAACCAGAAACAGAAGAAGCCGAGCCCTGGGAAAAGCAAGATTCAGACAAACTCCACCGCGAGGAGGAAGACAGAGGCTGGGACCCCGACAGAAAAGAAAACCTGACATCCCTCTTTAACGTACGGCCATCGGCCAGCGGCACACAGTCTTGCGAGTGGAAACCGGAAACATATGGCCTGCGGTGGGTGGCAATCCTTGTTCCCAGCTGACTGTGCTCCGAGATGCTTCTAAGCCCGTCACCTGCTGTCTTTGCCGACATGTTTTCGGAACAGGATTTGTGACCAGATGTCTGGGGAGACTGAACCGATTGTCAGTCCCAAAGACAGTTCATTCTTTGTCTGCACGTTTAGCATTTTTACCAGCCTCACGTTGCGTGTCTACTTGTGTATTTGCACATGATTGTGTTGTCAAGGACTTGGTATTGAGCAGAGTCTGTTCAAACCCAAATTCTTCCTGCCTCTATCCCAAACCCTTGGATTTCTAGACGTGTTCTGCTGTGATGGAAACAAGAATCATGAATTTCCAGTGGGTCAAGTTGTTGTCCTTATGTCGCACAGGCTATCGCTGGTAGCAGTTGGTTCTGAAACGTAAAGCCATGAATCACACGGCCAGTTATGATGTTCTGTTTAATTAAATTCATATTTAAACAAAAAGCTTAAGATGCATTTATCATCATAGATGCATTCTCTTTAGAATTTGTGCCATGTTCCACATTCCCCTGGGATTGAGTTATTTAGTAATTCCCTGATAGGCTTACCAGGGCTCAAAATGTTTGCATCTGTCTTTCCCTCCTTCTTACGTTACAACTTAGGTTCAATCACTTTCTACTTTGCTCCCTGAATGCGGGCTCCCTAAATCCAGGGCTGATTACACCACTAGGAGTTCTAATCCTGGTGGGTGCACCAGCTCACAGGGATCCTGGCACCCCCACTCCTCATTCCACATGGGTCTCCTTACAATCTGAGCCTCTTCTCTACCAGTTTAGGTCATGCCCAGCTGTAAAGCAGAATGGCAGTCACAGTTCACACGAGTCAAAAGAAAGCACAAAGACAGCTCAGGGATGGCTTTATGCTTCCCAAAGTTATACAAATGTCTTCTGCAGGCAGCCCCTTTGGGTCCCCTCCCACTGTGGGCGCTTTTCTGCCCTCTCAATAGATCCTGCTTTAAAAAAAAAAAAAAAAAAAAAGAATGGCTGCTACCAGCTGGGCACAGTGACACACATCTGTAATCCCAGCATTTTGGGAGGCCAAGATGGGAAGATTTCTCAGGCAATCCTCTTGCCTGAGCCTCCCAAAGTGCTGGGGTTATAGGCTTAAGCCACCGTGCCTGGCCAAGTGTACTTTCTTTGGTAATAATTTATAATTATCAAAATAATACCAATGCAAGTATTAAAACAATTTTTTTAAATTATAGAAAGATATAAATGGAAAGTCATAGTCAGCCTGCAATCCTCTTTTCACCAACTGACTGAGATTCATCCCTTGGAGAGATGGTCGGAAGGAAAGGGTTTTCTTTTCTTTTTTTTTTTTTGAGTTGGAGTCTCACTCTATCACCCAGACTGGAGTGCGGTGGCTGCTCCCGGCCACCGCAGCCTTGACTTGCTGGGCTCCGGCCATCCTTCCGCCTCAGCCTTCCACATAGCCAGAACTACAGGTGCGCACTACCACGCCCGGCTCATTTTTTTGATTTATTGTACAGATGAGGTCTCACCAAGTAGCCCAGGCGGGTCTCGAACCTGTGGGCTCAGGCAATTCACTCACCTCGGCCTCCCAAAGTGCGGGATTACAGGCTGAGCCACCGAGCCCGGTGGAAAGGGTTTTCTACTCGCAAAGCGTGTGTCTTGCTGCCCAGGGTGACTCTCCTGGAAGGAGCGGTCCTTGCCTCTTTCCACAGATGCTTGTATTGTCTTTTCCAAAGTCCCTTTATTGTTTATCATAATCCGATCTCATCTGTGTGAAAACATTTGAAAGACAGGGACAGAAGGGGCTGTCAGAGTGAGATCTGTCACAGCCTGGGCTCCGAGGGGCAGCCTTGTGTGGGGTCGTGCTGCCATCTGTCTGGTCACCCTTTGTTCTGAGATGAAGTGCTGTTTTTCTTGCACAGTCTGATAACATGAGTGTGGTGTGGGCTGTCTCACACCCACCGTGTTCTGGAGGCTCACAAGTGTCCACGCTCGCTGACATGACTTTAACTCTATTCGCAACACATCCACTGGCTGATTTTCCCATGTGAGCATGTTAGGAGGACTGCAAATACGATGAAAGTGCAACCCAGGTACTGAGCTAGGAGATCCCCTGTGGATCTAGCTGGAAACTGCATACCTTGCTGCTGCCTACACAGTGGTCACGTACTTGCATCTTGGTCTCCTTAAAGGGCTCAGCAATGGAGCTCGGTGACGAGCAGACCAGAAAAACAAGGGAAAGCATCCTTCAGATGGGCCCGTGTTTTCAACAGCAGGCTTATCCTGAGGGAGCATGGCAGGGAAAGGAAACCTTCCTGGCAGTGGTGCCCTGTTTTGGAGCTGCCTGGTGTCGGCCGTGCACTGGCTGGCTTGTCTTCACGGCTCATGCTACCTTTTCTCCCAGCCATGCCTCTGACAAGCCTCATCATAGCAAAGGGTCTCCACGGAGTCTTAGAGAAAAGAATTGTTGCCAAAAAAAGTCACAGTTATTTTCTAATTATAAAGTGCTCTGTTTCTAAGTAGGCATACAGTTTTGTGTGCGCATCAGGCGTGCGCTCAACAGGATATGGCAGGAAGGGGCCTGCAACAACCCGCTTCTGGCTCGTTCTCTTGGTGTACGCTCTGTTCCTCTTGACCGCTGGTGTCAGAGAGAACAGGACGCTATTTCTCCCCCAGTGAGATCTGTAGATGTCACTTGGGCCTTACTAGCTTTACGAGAATCCAAGAAGCACAAAAGCCTCCTAGCACAGGGCCCGTCTTCCAATCCTGCTGCAGCAACTCTGACACCCTGAGAGGGCCGGCTTGTCCTGACGCTCTGCTGTGAGCACTGAAAGGCAAGATGGGAGCACGGAGAGTCGGAATGGAAGCCAGTTTCATCCTGGTGATCACATGGGGTGGACCTGGGCTTCAGATTTCGGATGCGATGAGCAAATTTACAGGCACGATTTGTGCCAATACTTCAAGGATTTTTAAAATTCTATTTTTTACAAGAGGCCCAAACAGTTCCAGGTAGAAATCATCTCAGAGACTTTTTTCAAATTCATGAGGTTTTTGTTTTTTTGTTTTTTTTATCACATCTGATCAAGAAAAGCCAGCCGGTCAGCTGCCACTGTTGGGCCCAGAAGTATCAGAAGCAATTCTATTGAGATATGTCGCCTCCACTTCCCACTCCATCTGTCATCTCCCCTTTGTCCCTCTACGTTGATGTGGAATGACAAGCTCGTGGTCTGCTATTTTCTTTCTTTTTTTTTTTTTTGAGTCGGAGTCTCACTCTTTCGCCCAGACTAGAGTGCAGTGGCTGCTGCCAGCCACCGCAGCCTCGACCTGCTGGGCTCCGGCGATCCTTCCGCCTCAGCCTTCCGAGTAGCTGGAACTACAGGCACCCGCGACCACGCCCGGCTAATTTTTGATTTATTGTAGAGATAAGGTCTCGTCAAGTTGCCCAGGCAGGTCTCGAACCCGCGGGCTCAGGCAATCCACTCACCTCGGCCTCCCAAAGTGCTGGGATTACAGGTTGAGCCACCGAGCCTGGCTGCTACTTTCTTTAGTGACAATTTGCCTACAGGACTTTCCTTGGTGTCTGATACCACCACAGCTGGTGGGTGGCTTAAGCATCAGAAATTGATTGCCTCACAGTTCTAGAAAGTGGAAGTCCTAGATCAAGGTTTTAACAGGGTCTCTCTGGGGAAGCATGTATTCTGGGCCTCTCTCCTAGCTTCTGAAAGTTCCTTAGCCTTGGGCAGCATCACTCCAACCTTCATGTGGCATTCTCCCTGTGTGCATGTCTGCAAAACTTCCCCTTATTATAAGGATACCAGTCGTATTGGACAGGGCCCACCCTATGGACCTGGTTTTCACTTGGTAAATAGCCTCTCTCCATATAATGTCATATTCTGAGGTACTGGGGCTTGGGACGTCAATATAGGAGTTTGAGGGGAGACGATTTAACCCATAATAGTGTCTTCACTTTTACCTCCACATCCACTTCCAGGCAGTTTGTTCAGACTCGAAGTCCAGGACAAAGAAGTAGAGATGTTGTATGCACAGCCCATTCAGTGCTACCACCTTCCTGGCATCATGGTGGGCACCCAGGCCACAAAATGTTCCCTGATTCTCTTAGAGCCTACCCACGCTTCCAGTCCTGACATTCCCAGAGAAAGATAATCCTTTGAGTGCCTTGGTTTCGTTTTCTGTAGCCTTTTTTTTTTTTTTTTGAGTTGAAGTCTCACTCTGCTGCCCAGGCTGGAGTGCAGTGGCACGGCCATGGCAGCCTAGACCTGCTGGGCTCAAGTGATCCTTCTGCCTCAGCCTTCCAAGTAGCCAGATCTACAAGCATGTGCCACCGTGTCCTGCTAATTTTTTGATTTATTGTAGAGATCAGGTCTCACCAAGTTGCCCAAGCTGGTCTTGAACCCATGGGCTCAGGCAATCCTCTAACCTCAGCCTCCCAAAGTGCTGGGATGATAGGCGTGAGCCACTGCCCCTGGCCCCTTTCTGTAGTCTTAGAGATATCTCTCCCCTTCTCAAAAGCCAGAAAGGTGTTCATTGCCATCTGTTGCATAGCTGTCCCCGAATCCCAGGACCCGGGCTGCGATCATTCTGCCTTCTCCCTGTCCCAATCCACTCACACTGTGACCTTAGCATCCCAATGGGAAAAGCTGTCCTTAGTGGTCTCTGACTGAGCCAACCTATAGTTGTACCATTTAGACTAGCTGATTAAGTTGGGGAAAAAGTGGCACCACTACTCTGTATCTCTCCTCCTTCCCTGCTAAATCCTCTCCTTAGTTCACACCACCTTCTGATACACTGTGCGGCTTGCTTGTTTATTTTCTTTTTTGGGTTGGAGTCTCACCCTGTCACCCAGACTGGAGTGCAGTGGCACGTTCCCGGCCACCGCAGCCTCGACCTGCTGGGCTCTGCGATTCTTCCACCTCAGCCTTCCAAGTAGCCGGATCTACAGGCGTGTGCTACCACGCCCGG